CGGGCTCGAAAAATTAGTCCGGGATAAATTTTATTAATTTATAGATGTATAAAAAATAAAATAAAATATATTTTATAAATTAATTTAATGAAATTTTTGTTTCATTTAGAAAAAAATAAATTAGGGATGATATTGAAAATAATTTTGGTAAAAAAAGGTAAAAAATTGGGTTCGGGGAGTGTTTTTAAAAGAAAAATCGGAAAGTAGGGGTCAGAACGCAATTAAAAAAATTTTTACCACGTAGGACCGCCCAGTCAGCAGTCTCGACGAACTGAAACACGCTGCACAGCAAGACATGTTGACTCGGTGCCAAGTAGGAGGCCACGCTGGTGATTCACATGCCCTGCGATCGGAAAACCCAGAAGTCTTCCTGCATGTATGAACGGTCCAGATCCGTTCCCTCCTCAGGCCCGATCAGACAGTTACGATCAAACACAATAAACAATCCAAATTCCTTCCCTCCTTAAGCACGATCGGACGATCGAGATCAAATGCGATGAATGGTCCAGATTCGATTCTTCCTTAGGTGCAATCGAACGGTCGAGATTAAAAGCGATGAACAGCCCATATTAACGCGAGATAAGCATAAATATTTTGCACTGAACTCAAATCCTAGTCGCCAGGCCCCTCACCAGAGAAGAAGAACCAGCTGCCGAAGAAGGGAGCCGAACATCGCCCGCTGCAGCACTGGAACCACTTACGACGGACAAAAAAGGTAAAAAGTCTCCTACCCGCTCAAAATTCGATTCCAAGCACCCTTGTGGCCAAATTAGAGTAAAACAAACGGCGAGTGAGCTGAAAATCACGGGCAAAATCCATAACCACCTCTGATGAGCTCCTTCTCGTTTCCCATTTCATGTGATTTTTTTTACCGTTGTGTTCACCGTTCTGTTTTCTACAAGTTGACCGAAAAAAAAGTCCAACTGCGAAGGTGAGCCAGCGGAGCCGCCGCACCGAAAAATTTCACAACCAGTAGGTTTTTATTTTTTAATTTTTTTCACCAACCAAATCTCCTTAACGTGTTTTCTCGCATGGATGTGTATAAAATCGGTCGAAATCAGCCAAAATCGACTGAAACTGGCCAAAACCAGCTGAAAATGACCAAATCGAGACAAACCGCCGCCGCAAACGGTAGTGCCGTCGCCGGAGCACGGTGGTGCCGCCGTTCTGAAACTCCGAAATTGGCTAGAAAAGGATTTTTAATATCGATTTTAGATTTTTTGGGTATTTTTAAGTACGTAAAGCGTATTTTAATCTCCGTAGAAAAATTTAGAAAACTCAGGGACCGCCAGTAGAAGCAGTAGAAAATTCAGTATTTCGGACATCGATTCGGGTAAGAATCTCTCACTTTATTCTCTATTATAGAATTGAAGCTTAATAATCAATAATATGGTATTTTGTACAATTAAGAAAACTTTGAGAATAATTAGAAGTTATTAATGGAGTCAGAACCAGTTAATCATTTATTTGTCCTGTTTAGCTGATTGTTTAGTTTATAACTTTAAATACATGATAATATACTAAAATTGTTAAATGATTCAGTTGTGCTTTTTTTATGTATATTTATTGCTTGTCTTGCATGATTTACGGTTGATTTATGAAATTAAAAATTAATATGCAAATAAAAAATTACTTGGTTATATGAATTAATGAATAGTTGTCTTACTGAATATCCTGGGAGATGGTGGACGGATTGAGTATATATGGAATCCTACCATGAACGTTGCCTTATACCGGACGGGGTATCGAAGAATGATATTTTTAGCACTCATATCGGATGGGGTATGGAGATGACCCGATTCACCCTCATATTGAACGGGGTATTGAGAGATAGTATTTTTCGCGCTCATACCAGATGGGGTATGGGGACGATCGGTTAGTTGACAAGGTTGGATATTGGTTCACGCATAATGAGATATCTCTATAGAACCCCAAGAATACTAGTAGGCAAATAAAAAGAGAAAGTTGTTGTTCTTACTCACTTGAATATGAGATTATAATGTTATTTGAATTATTATCTCTATAGGTCGATTTTAAAAATCTCGCTACGGTAAAATATGCAATAAATGGTTTTCCTTATGATAAATGAATTTACTTAAATTAAGAGCTTCATTGGTTGTTTTTATAATTTTTACCAATCTTAAGTTTCTGTATCGGTTAGTAGTGTGATATTTTTACTAAACTAGTGTAACTCACCATTTCATTAAGTATTTCAGATCAAGATCCAAGTCTCGATCAATAAGAAAGTTGTGAATAATTCACCATGCAAACTCCTTTAAAAAACTAGTAAAGGTCGTCCTAAGATGTTCAGTTGTTTACTTTTCGTTTATTTCTTTGATATTCGTTTGTTCTTTAAGAATGGATATTTTCATAATCCTATTGAGTATTCTAAACTATTGTGTAAGAAATATAAACCGTAACTCTATTATTTTGGTTCCGCATTCAATTTACGACTTTATTTTCTTTTAAATTCTGAGTCTTTACAAGAAGAAATTAAAGAGAATGGTAATGTTGTAAATAATGAAAACTATTAAGAGTATAAAGGAAAAAAACTATCAAACTATCATAAAACTACCGAATCGGTGGTTTTAAAAAATGAGAAAAATTATAGTTTTGAGAACTATGACTCAACTACAAAAAAAGTATATCATGTGTTTGCAAATACAAATAAACAGAAAAAAAACTATAAAAAAAACCATAACATCATTATTGAAATTCTATCATCCAAACAAGGCCTTAAACTGTCCTAGGCTTGAATGCTCTAGATGTCATCAAGTATCCCCATACACTTATTGTATAGCAGGAACTTATGCAACTCTTCTGCCAGTTGTTCATCTCTTAGATTCAGAATTCTCTCTGCATCAGCAGCAGAGGTAAGCCTTGAAAGAAGTCCCTCCCAAACATCCCTGCTTTGACATTGTTGAGAAATATACACCCAAGCGAGATTATTAAAATTACTCTTAACTTTGTCATGGTTGTGGATTTTCTTAGCCAGAGTAGTCTTCCCCAAACCACCCATACCACAAATAGACATCACTCTGAAATGTTTTTCTTCATAAACCAAAGTATTCACCAACTCATTAACGTTATCCTCCAATCCCACAATGTTTTCCTCAACAGCATGAGGAAAAGCCCTCCTTTTTCTTATCCTCTCCCGTGAGGAACCAGCTGATTCTTCTCTCTCCCTGAGCTCTTTATGCCATAGTCTGCAAACTCATGGTTATTGCAGAAATTCTAGACTTAATCACCTCAATCTCAGAACCTACCTGGTGCAGATTCCAGCCTTCGTTCAAATGCAAACAAATCTTTTTAGATTATTCGTAAAACCCCTTGCTTGAAGATGCCACTTTGCGAACAAATGTCTCGATGACATCCTCCGCATCTAAGCGGCTTCTCTGATTTCAGCAATCCAGTTGCGAACGCTCTCGTTTCGTCTTGCCTAGCATCTGCATCTTTGAGGAAGCACTGCATTCTCTTCAACTCCGCTTGCAGTTATTCCACCTTATCCCTCACCCCAATCAAGAACTTGGCTTCTTGCAGCAGCAAGCCGCCAATCCTTTCAACAACGAAGAAGACCACAGCATCAGTCATTTTGCTCTCTTCTCTCCAATACAATGACAAATGCAGCGCTTCCTTGTCCAGAAAATGGTGTGCTCCTATATCTTCCCGCTGCCTTCTGAATCAAGTAGCATCATCGCAGTTGCAGCGTTGACTTCTCTAAATCTTTGTTTATTCCCCTAGCACCTTTGACCATGCATGTTAATAAACAATATTTTATAAAATTTTATATCCTAAGTCAATTATCATTTAATAAACTAAAAAAAATCATAAATAACAGTTGTTACAGCCTTATAGCCTTATTCTTATTTTTCTTACATGCATAAAAAATAACAATTAATAAACTAAAATGGGAGATATTATGTACTATTTTACTAATTCTTAATCTAGAAAAATTATCAAATCAGCCTCCAAATTGTAATTTTCATTCATAATATATTTGTTATTTTAATCAAATCTGATTTTTATTTATTTCAACTATTTAATTTCCTTTTGTTTTAAAATATAAAAAAATAAAGTAATTTGATCATATTTAAATACTTTAAAAAATAATATTAATTAATCAATTAAATTAATAAATTTATTTAATATTTTTATTAATTTATTAAAGTATTCACTTATATTTTAAATATTTTAATTTTTTTGTTAAATATATATATATATATATATGATACTTAAAAAATATTAAAAATTAATTTATAATAAACGTCAAATTTTAAAAATAGATTATAATTATTGTATACAATTTTTGTTTCATATTATTATAATTTTTTATGTCAAATTTGCGAGAGGCATACTTAACTGCGTCTAATAACATTTATGAACTTAAAATATGTATCGAGAGTTGTCCGAGTGTAAATATAATTATGCGCTGCAAAGATATTTTTATGGATTAAATTATAATTTGTGTTTTTTTAATGAGCTGATAGTTATAAAATTATTTTAACATTTGTGAACAATATAAACCTTTTATAATTATTAAATAAAATATAGTATCTTAAAAATTAATTAATATTTTATTGATATATATAATAAATTGAAATTTTCTTAACAAAAAGAATGGTTGATTTGTACTTAGTTTTTAACTTATACTGAAAAGAAGTTGTCAATATAATCACAATATTAGAACATCAAATATTGATAGTATTCTTTTATTAATTTAAAATAAAAAATTTAAAAATTAGATACATTTATAAATATAAAGGAAAAAAAACTAATTGAATAATTATTCTCACTGTTATATATAAAAATCATTTTCAATATTATTGTCTTTATGCACAACTACACTTGTAATGTTAATGTTGTTTTTTTTAAAAAAAGTCATTTCAAATATCGGACTCTACATTTTTAAATAATAAATATGGTTAATTAATAGACAAATGAAAATATTAAAAAATATAAATTATAAAAATAAAAAAATAATCATAGTTTACTAATCGATACACTTTTAAAAGTTCATATTTATTGTTGTAAATGGTACTCATAGTAGCAGTACTGATATACAATTTAAAATGTTTTTATCATTAAAGATCTTTTACCATACTGATTATCCATCTACTCTTCAACTCCATGTTTAAATTAATTAGATTATTCGAGTTTGTTGTAAGTGATCAAGATGTCATATTGACTAGTGCACTTTGGCTAGAGCTTTCTAAACCATGCAGAACACCGTCCTCTTTCAATTTGGTATACCATCAAGGATCAGACTGGGAAACTGCAGTAGCAAATATTGCAATTGAATGTATGTGATGTTTTCTCACTGAACATCCAGGAAGATTGCCGAAATGGTTGACTTGTGCCGAATACTCCTATCAAGCTCTCATTCTACTCCTATCAAGAGACCAGAATTGGTCTCTTGCTCTACAGGTGCTGCAAAAAATATATGCCCAGATCACTATGGAGCAACTCTATGAAGTTCATTTTTAAGAGGGTGGCTAAGCATTATTGAAATTGCAGCCTTTTACTAACAATTGTAGAAGCTGGCTACACAGCATTACGGATAATTTAGAATACAAGCAGAAATAGAAGAAGTAGCTTTTGCATTACCAAAAGATGCATGCATCTGACCAGGCTTTTCATGTTTCTTGATTAAAAATGATTCACTTGCAGTGAATACTGCAGTATACTCTACAGCCTGATATCAGAGTGAGATTGTTCTATTCCTAAGGCTTTCTAGATCATCACCTGAAGAATGACAGAATGGAGTTCGTAGTTCATTGGCAAGGTCTGTCACCAGTAGACGCTTTTTGGGTGCCAAGTTGTTAACTTGCTGCAAAATATCCTATATTCAGACTTGCAGAAGAAATACTTTCTGAAAGGAGGGAGTGAAGTTACAGCTGCAAGGGAAACACATGGCAGAGGCAGAAAAAGCACCACCAGATTCTGAGTGAACTAGCATCTACTGCTGGTTCTCCTTGTCACATCATGTTATTTGGATGTCATGAGAGTAATTCTTATGGACTTGAATTTTAATTTAAGACTACATTAGAATTCTAAATATAGGCTATGTTTGGATTTGGATAAGAAAGTAGCTCTTTGGATCCTAGGTTTTAGGAGCAATTGCTCTCTAAATATTGGCATCAATCATGAATAGGAAATCTGACAGTTCACATAGTATTAGAGTAATATCCAGAAATTGAAAGTTCGCTCCAAAGAGCCCTAAATCATAGGGCAATCAAATTCGTGAACCCGACAAGTAAGCTTCACGCTTGCTACTAGACTTTCCAGTCAGTGGATCTATGACACAATCCCAAACTCAGGATTGTAACATATATAAATCCTAATAGGAATAGTAGAAGTAGGATTAGAAATTGAATGATAAACGAATTAAACACAACATGGTAGCTCCTTATAAGTGGTCAAATGGGTGCATCTTTTCATTCAAAATCCCTTTATTAGCAGATCATGCCACAAGAAAGTTTACGGGACAAACCTTCCTTCTTGTTGATTGTTGGCCTCTTTTCACTGCCTTTCCCTTGTTTTCCTCTTCCAGCTTTTTGAAAAACTACCAAATATATCACATAATTAAGAGAAAAGCGAAAATATTCAAGGTTTATGCATAGTGATGAATGACATTTTAAGCATGAAATAAAAATAACAATATAATCTAATCTTGCCTCGTTCCTTTTTGCAGCTCTTTCTTCACTTTTGAAGCTAAAAGGAAAGAATATTGTAGATTGTGCTCTTGCTTTGCTTGAATTTAAAGATCTTGCATGGCTGCCACAGACATTCAAACAAAATATAGGTTCATAAACTTTCATATGATACATTAAACATATCTTCTCCAATATATTGATTTACTCAGACCCTATGAGGTAGGGGAAAAGGAAAATGTTCAGTGCTGTTGGTTTAAGAATGTATTTTTAAGTTGATCAGTTTCAATTAAGGCAAACTCCTTTCCAAGTCTAAGTGTGTGGATAAATAGAAGCATCCCCGAGTTCAGACAATTTAGGAAATTTAGGCAGCATATCTTCTTACTCTACAGATGAGTGCCATTTCCCATTAGTTGTAATCCCTCCAGAAACTGACTTGTTTAATGGAATATTAGTCTTGCATGTCCTGCAAGGTCAAGATTGATAAAGACTTTCAAAAGAAGAAAAAAGGCATGGAAAAGATAATTAACCAGTTTAGTGTGTTCAAATAAATCTTTGACATTACGAACAAATACCTTTTAGCTTCTGTGTGCAGACTTTTGAAAGGATGTGGTGGTATTGCACTAACAGATGCCTGCATGTTGCAAAGGAAAACTTCGTCTTTCCTTCTTTTCGAAAACAGTGACTAGATATGTGACTATTAATAGTACATCTGCCCATGTAAAAGGTGAAAGAAGATAAAAAAGAGCATCAAAGATAATAGAAGTACCTTAGCTGAAGCTCGTGCAGGATTTGAATCATCTTTAGGCATTCTAGGGGATATATTACTGATTTCACAAGCTTGAGAAGCAATTGTTGACGCGTTGAGGAAATTTGGCTTTGATCTCTTTTTTCTGTTTGAATATCCAGCGAAAATTATACGATTCGGATGGATGTTTTCATTTCTGGACTGCACAGAAGTCGTCTGTACTGTGGTAGAACTTATTTTGGCCATTTTGCATGATGCTTTACTGGATTCTCCAGTATGAGGACCAAAATTCATTGACATATGAAGAGAATTTGGAATTAATCTCTTCTTTGTGTTAGAACCTCCTGAAGCAAGTTTTGAGTTCGGGAGATTATTGTTTCTTGTTTTAACATGAATCAGAGTTGGTTGTAAGGGAGCTAAACTGTCTTTGGGTATTCTGGTTAGTGCCTTATTGGTTTCAGCAGCATGCGAAGCAAGGTTGATTGACATTTGGAGGGATTTTGATGTTGATGTCCTTGTGTCATTCAAATTCCTTGGGAATGTCTTACCATTCAAGGCAACTTCATTTCTCTCTCTGGCTTGCATAAGAGTTGATTGTCTTGGTTGTCTACATTGAGAAACTGCATCTCCAGATCCTCCACAATGAACCAATGACTTTGATGAAGAATTTGCTTCTTTAACAGTCCTTGATATGGTAAAATTCCTCTGACCATGAAAAAGGTGTTAAAAGCAGTTGGATAGGTAAAAAAACCTGATAAATATAAATTAGAAAGCAGAAAGACTTAATGCATTACATTATCAGGCATATTCTCTTCAGGGCTGGCCAAGTGCTTGTAATTTTCAGTCTTTCCAAGCAGCTCTGAATTCTCCAAAGAGCTCTCCCTATGGACATTGTTCTCTGCTATTGCATCACTTCCTTCCACCATGGTAATTTCCTCTGTTTTAGTACTAGGTTGACATGTATTTGCATCGGCAGGAAAAGCTATTTCTGGATTGGAGATATCATCAAATTCTTGTTTATTAATGGCTGACTTTGTATCCACTTGGAAATCTTTCTGTTTTTTTCTTGTACTTTCTATTTCGGGAACAAAATTAGTAGCTTGTTCCAGATAAGCTACTTCTGGATTGGAGATATCATCAAGTGCTTGTTCCTTAATGGCTGAGTTTGTATCCACTTGGAAATCTTGCTGTATTTTTCTTGTACTTTCTATTTCTGGAACATAATTAGTAGCTGTAGTTGCTACCTCAAGTGCTGTCGTTGCCATTTTCATGGCAGCTCTTTTCTGGTAGCAAGCTTCAAAATAAGCCTTTCTCTGAACAACAATACCAGGCTTGAACAACTTCTCAACCTCTTCTAAGTAACGGTTGTGAGAAAAGGTTGACCATCTCTCCCAATCCAAAGATTCTGACATGAATCTGCCAAATGATACAGATCTTTAAGAGCTCGAATGGGACCACCCTGCAAGTTTAAATTGGTTTTAAACTATCTTGAAGAGCCTTAAAATAACTGATATCCAACTATTCTTTTTTAGGTTATGTTTTGAACAACTAAACTATTTTTATGAACTTATTCAGAAAATGATGTCTATTGCAAAATCAAAGTATGTAACTGGACATAAAATAATATATACATATATTCCAACTACCATAAAGTTTCATGTTAATGGAGGTTGATTCATTTATTTAGTACCCATCTTGGCAAAAACATTTAGTTTAGCATATATGTTCTAGATGTCAGTGACTTGAAAAAATCTATTTGTCTCTTGATTAAAGAACTGCTAAATGCCAATTATGGAGTCATAAGGAAGTGAAAGTGGGACTTACAAGACAGAAGTACATAAATAAAATGCTTGAACGACAGAAAAAATATACACATTAGTATAAATTCAAACTTCAAGCTTCAGGGAAGCAACGCTACGGTAAAAGGAGAACGAGAAAAGGATAAACAAATATGTAATTTGAAATCAAATTAAAAAGGAAAGAATAAAGACTAGTTATAAAAATTGCTTCTTCTCCATTAATTTCCGACCATTTTCCCCCAATCCTCTTCCAACCCTCCCGATAACCAAATCAACAAAGCATGACCGAGAACCAAAACTATCTCCAGAAATTGTAACGGAGAACCTCGTTCTAACAACTTCCTAACGAAGAACAATCTTTTACCATTTAGTTATTGAGAATCCGACGAAAAACTAAGGAAACCAACGATTTCAATCTCATATCAACCTCGTTGTCTAAATTTAAGTTTCCACCACAATTTTCTCACGAATCAAATGTAACGCCAAGGCTTTACAAGGCAGTTAAAATAATCTAAGAAGAAAAAATGAAAGAACAGTTATATCTTATCTCACTGACTTCACGGAAAGTATCGAAAGGATGCGCAAACGATCTCAGAGGACAAGCTGATTCTCCCATTTCGTTGTCGCACAGAAGAAACGAATATCATAAAACTAAAGCTCTGCAAAAGTCAACAGCACTTCTGATTTCCTCTTCAGTCTTGCAATGTTGAAGTGGTAACTGGTAGTGGATATTCTTGTTCACCGTCTATGCTCTACACTCAATACTGTAATTGTTAAGAAGTTTCTGATAGATTGTTTTGATTTCTGGGTGATGAAACGGTTACATGCTTTCGAATTGGTTTGTGCAGTGGGAGCTGAAATTGGGGGCCTGGAGGCTCCTCTCAACGGCTATTTCCCTCTTACCTTTTTTGTTTCATTATGCTTTTGATATAAAAGCGAAGAAATAAATAAATTATAATTTTTTATTAAATTGCAGCTAATTTCAAATGCTAAACAGTAAAAACCCAACGTCCACAATAATAATTTCAATTTACAAAAACAATAAGTTTATCAAGTTTATGGTAGCATTTTGAATATTAACTTTAATAAGTTTATGGTTGGTGATTCTTTTAGGCTCTGTTTGGATCATAGTGAATGATAGGTAATTAATGTATAGTACTCTACGGGTGTGAGAAGATTATATTTGTTTCAACTTCCAATTGTAGTAAACGGTATCTGATTGACAAATTTGTGATGAATTTTAAAACCACTAAATTGGTGGTATGTGACCGGCATGTTACTTTTTTTCCTTTTATACCCTCATATAATATATTTAATTCTATTTTTATCTTCACATATAAAAATCCTATTTTCTCTTCTTTTCTCATTCACATCATATGCTGGGAGGACCGAACTGCTCGCATCTTATTCTTGTTCAATCGATATCTACTTGTTCTTCTTCGATTGCTTCCAAACATTGGGTCTTTGATTCTACTTCTAATTCGCGTTGTTCACTTTTTCAATCAATAAGTATTTTTGTATTTTTTCATGATCAAGTTCTTTCATTTTTTCTTTGATTTACATTCTTCATCTTCTCGATGGTTTTTTATTTGAGTGCATGTAGAAATGTAAGCTCATTTGCTTTATCAATTTCAGGAAGTGGATTGTTAATGATGATTTTCTGACTGCTTCCATGAAAAATTTTCCGTCGTGTTATCAATTTCAGAAAGTGAAATGTCTCTTGATATTGCTATCAATAAGTTTCCACAAGTTAGTTGATGCAATTTATAACTATATGTAGCAGTAAAATTGATTATTAATGATGATTAGTGTTAAAGCAATCCTTTGTTTCTTGTTGGAAGTTGCCTCCCTTCTTCTTCCTCTATTTCAGGCGTGGACAAAGCTTTTTATGTTTACCCTATTCGGTTTCTTGATTCCGAGATGAACTCCACTGCATCTTTCTCATGCCCTTTCTCCTTCTCCATCATCACATCCCCATTGTGTCCCTTTGGTGAAGGTATAGTATTCTTGATCACATCCAATGTTGAATATCATTGGTAATGGGCCTTCCTAGACCAGCCTTAAACCTTAAAGATTCATTCATTGTTGTTGAATTCGATACAAGTTCCAATCCTTCACTTGCTAATAACAATGGTAATCACATTGGTGTCGATGTTAACACAGTCATATCTTTTGCTTCAATTGATGCTGAGTCAATACGGATTGATCTTATAAAATAGGAGCTAGATTACAGCTAGTATTTTTTTATGATTAATAGTTTCAACTGGCTGAAGTTCTATGCTTTTGTCATGTAATTTTGTGCTTGCATTATTTTTCTCTCTTGAGTTGATATTATACCAATAGATGTATGTGAATATATTAGATAAAAAATATTGATATTTTAAGACGTGTAGTTATTTTAATTTGTCAGTTTATCATACTTTATGAGTTAGTAGTTCATAAAAGGCACGAGATAAGTTATAGGCTTACTTATGAATTAAGACTAGAGGGAGAGAAAGCTCGAGATAAATTTATGCAAAATTTATTATCAAGTGAGTTTTGTCGGCATATAATTAGGATGAAAGCTTCATCTTTTATGAATTTATGTCGTTTACTAGTTATAGATTGTGGACTTAAGCATACTATTCGTGCAATTGTGGAGGAACAAGTACTTAAGACGCTTTACCTATTAGGATACAATGAGAGAAATCAAGCCATATCTTGGACATACCGTTCGTCATTTTCACAATGTGCTACGATGTATAGTACATATGGCTGATAAATTTTATTAATCAGCTAAATGGATCACAAATGCCTCTGGAAATAGCCAACATTCTCATATTATTTCCATTTTTTAAGGTATATATATAAGTTATACACGTTTAATTAATTCTTTTAACATAAGTGCATGTTTAATTAATTAGTAAATAATTAATTTTAGGATTGTCTTGGTGTGATTTGTGGAACATATATATGTGTTAAAGTGTCTAAAAAAAATGCTCAACGGTTTCGCAGGAGAAAAGATTTCCCCACCCAAAACTTGTTAACAGCTTGTACTTTTGATTTGAAATTTTCATACGTCTTAGCTGGGTAGGAGGGGACCACATCAGATTCAAGAATAATAAAAGATGTGTTAAACAGAGTTAATGATCCTCTAGTAATTCTCGAAGGTAATTTAAATATATTTAACTTCAATATATAATGTATACATTTGAAGAAAAATGTTATAATTTAATTTATTCATTGTTTATAGGTAAGTTTTACCTTGTGGATGTTGGGTTCATGTTGCGAGGTGGACTAATTACACCATATAAAGGAAAACGTTACCATTTGAGTGAATACTCTAGGAATCCACTACACAATGCTCGTGAGCTATTTAATTTATGATATGTTTCTTTGCGTAATGCGATTGAACATGCATTTGGAGTTCTAAAGATTTTTCAATTATCTAAACCTCCACTGAACCTCATTATTAGAGTAAGACTATGAATGCCATTATATTTGCTTGTTGCATTTTGTATAATTATTTACGGAGAGATGATCAAACTGATGAACTTCTTCAAGAAGTTGATGAAAAACTTCGAAACACTTCTCTAGACGAATGAAGTACATGTAACTTTAGGGACAATACTAAGGAAATAAGAAAAGGCAAAGCAATCAGAGATGCAATAGCAGCTGATATGTGGGTTGATTACATTTTGTGTAATTTATGACATTTGTATAATTTATGATGTTTGTATGGTGTATGACATTTGTATGATTTATGATATTTATGTAACTTAGATATTTTAATTGAATGTTACAATTTAGAATTTATTTTGTTGTAATCATATTATATTTTTTTGCATATAATTATATTTGGTGTTTTCATATGTGTTTTAGAAAATAACTAGAAGGAACAGACATGTAGATGGAGGAAGTATGGTCAGATCATATGGATGACGTCCTATAAACTCATTTCACGATCAACATTTCT